TTGGCCTATAATCGACCCATACACACCCCTAAAAAATATAGCATATACATGAATTTTAATTAATTATTTTTTGAAGCAACATATATAATATGATCGATAACATGTATACAATATAATTTTCATTAACGATTCAACCACAACATACAACAATTGTATTAAAAGACTACTATAACCAAAAAAATATAAAAGAAGAATTAACATATAACAAACATATAAATTAAAAGCTCTACCATAATAAAATAATTCAAAAAACGGTCAAAATACTTCAAACCATCACAAAAATCTTTAAACTTGGTTTCTTTTTCAATTGTATGTGATTTATATGGTTGTCTACATAAAATATTGACCTTTCATAGTAATATTTTCATTAAATGCATATTAAACTTAATATATATGTTATAAAACTTTTGAATGTTTAAGTCATTATTAAGAAGAATTTTGAGTGGTATTAATTAAAATAGGGGGTTTCAAATGAATATTACACTAAAATGTTATAAAATATTATAATTATTTTAAATATACCATACAACACACACACATATACATATATATATATATGTGTGTGTGTGTGTATACATTTTATAATTTCTTCTATATAAGTGGAACAAAGATAGAACTTGTGTAGCAAAACTTTTCCAAGAGAATTGGTTTTGCCATCCAGAAAGGGCTAGCGGCGCAACTTATTGTCCGTTTGCCTTCAATCGATATGTATTAAACTATATTTTTCTAATTAAATAAATCTTGTTTATTAAAAGATAAAGGTACCTAAATAAAACAAATATAATTTTTTTTACTCTATCATAACATAAACCATAAGGTTAAATATTCATCTATGTTTAACGTGGATATGATGCATACAACAAAAAAACGCCAACAATCAAAGTATCGATCATTCTCATATTTTTCTTCACGTAAACACCATAAACATAAAGTAAAATACAAACAAAAATACATTTACAAATATAAAGTATAATTACAACCACCCATAAATGAAAACTAAAATATAATTACAAACATAAAGTTACCACACAACCACTACATTGCACAATAATCTTCATATAACATAAACAAAAGGATATTAACATATAAAAAGACTATTATGAACCAAATCATAATATTAGACATCCACTACAATTAAACATACAATATCCGACCACCATTTTTTTTTAAATCCATAAGACAACAAATCATAATTTGCCTTTTCTATATAAAAACACAATGTAATCAACATTCTTCTTACATGAGTGATTGGAGAAGTGTGGTGCAATGTTGTTAAAATTGTAATGCTTCAAGTTGGTGACATTATAAACTAAGAAGATGCATAAAGAATTTCACTCAAAGTGAGATGTTTAGGAAACCAAGAACTAAAGAGAGAAATAAAGATTCATAAATCACATGTAACAACTTATATAACATGTTTGATGTATAAACAATTAATAATCATTACTAAAATGCATTTGAAAAGTCATTGGAGAATATGAAAAAACATGGAAGTTTCAAATTCATATGGTGCTTGGAATTTTGTCTCTTTTATAAGTTTTGAGAATATGAAAGAACGAAGGAGTTTCAAATCAATGTGATGCTTAGAAAAATGCTAACTATATAAGATATATAGATATAGATATAGATATAGATGAGTATTGTTTTAATCTCGTATTTTGGTTTGGGAAAACACATTTTTTATGATAAAAGAAACTTAACTTTTTTAGAGGGTGTTTGAGAATACTTTTTAAATGACTTTTACCTTTTAACTTTTCTAAAAAGTTATAAAGATGTTTGAAAAATACAAAAGTTCTTTTCAAAATAACTTTTTGTAAAGAAGAAAAGAATAGGTTTTCAAAAGTCAAGAAAATGTGACTTTTTGTAACTTTTAGACTTTTAAAGCTAAATCATACTTAAAGGTCAAAAAATATTACCCAAACACTTTTTAAAATCCATTTTTGGCTTTTGTTTTCTCAACAGAATTTTTACAAAAAGACTTTTAGGCTTTAAAAGTAATCTTAAACACCCCCTTAACGCACGTTTTGTTTGTTTTTTTTATTGGTTTGCTTCTGTATATGTTCTTCGATCTTTGATGATTACATTTGCGAGTAATCTATTTGATAACATATGTATTTTCTATTATGTTAGATCTTACTGGTTGGTTAATCTTTCTTGTTACCGAAGATTGTTATTTCTTTGAGAAAATTGCAAATTTAGCAAAAAACGATAATTACTTTGTGGAAAAGAGCAAAAAAACCAAAATTGCAAAAATAGTCATCAGGTTCGCAGATGGAAAGCCTATGTTCGCAGATGGACTAGTTCATATACAAACGTACAAGCTTGTAAAGCGCAGGCATGCTTCATCGACTTGTACGTTTGCAGATGGATTAGTCCATCTGCGAACATAGGTAGCCATATACGAACCAAGCTCCTACCCAACTATAAAAACGTATTTTGTTTGGTTCATTTTTCATTCTCGTTGGAAACGATTTTCTTACCGCATATGCAATTATGGACGATTTCATAAATAATCTCAATAATATGGTAAGATCTTTACTTGTTTTGTGTTTTAATCATCATTTATCAATTTAGGCCTTATTATTCATATTAATTATTCCAAAAAAATTGTAAAAAAAACAACATTTTATTGTGTTTTATTATTGTATTTTCTTAGATTTATGTGTTATATTTGATAGTTAGTAGATTTTATTAGTAGCCTTTAGGTTTTGATAGTATTTGATAAGTAGATGTATGATTGTACAAGTGTGTACTGAGTAAATTGTGCATTATGTGGTTGTATATTTTTGTTACAATGTTTAATAATATGAATATTTTGATATAATAATTCTTATTATTGTTTGATGATGTTGTACATTTGCATTTTGATGTTGTACATGTTGTACATATAGTTTATCAAAAAAATGTTTTTTTGATTGGTATTTATTAGTGGATAATATTCTTGTGTATTCATCTTATTTATTGTATTTATTTATCTCCTTATTTGTAGGGGTATTTGTAATAAATCCGTTATATATAATCGATTCTCTCCTCATTAATTGATGGGGTTGATTTTATTACTTGTTATATGGTATCACTCATTCATCCGATTTCCCCCTTCTAAACCTATTCGTCTCTTTCTTCTTCCTGGGATCTCACCATGATAGAGTCTTCTTCTTCTTCTTCTTCTTCTTCTCAAGATAACGCTTTCTCCATGAATACTCTATTGCACCTGATGACAATCAAGCTTTCCTCCAGCAACTACCATTTATGGCATAATCATCTTCTTCCCATCTTTACTTATCAAAAGCTATTAGGGCATCTTGATGGTTCTTCTCCTGCTCCATCGATTACCATTACTGTTGAAGAAAAATCTCTTCCCAATCCAAACTATCAAGTATGGATTGAAGCTGATCAGCGAGCTATTATTCTCTTGCAATCTTCTCTGACTGAAGAAGTTGCAGCCGAAGTTCTTGGTCTCACCATGACTCGTAACATCTAGCTTGTTCTTGAAGCTTCTTACAGTAACGTATCTGTTGAACACGTTCATTCTTTGCGTGACTCCCTTCGACAACTCACGAAAGGTACGTCTTCTATTTCTGATTATTGTCTTCGATTCAAGGCAAGATCTAATATTTCATGATGATGTTTGTTTTTAACACTTATGTTTTTGGACGACTTGGTTTGTAAACATTATTTTGGTAATTTAAAAATGAAAAGTGGGTTTAAATTTTGAGGTGTTACGAATGCTACATGTGGTATGTCGAAAACTATCACTTTGATCCAAAAAGTTTTTGAGGTGCATCAATAGTCCAAAATAGTTTTTTTTGTTGCGATTTTGGTCCGTTCCAAACTTGGAAGTGGTTAAAATGAATTTTTTTGTCATTTTTATTTCTTTTTGTTTGCTTTACTATATTTAAATTAAAAATAAAAAATACAACTCGCCCATCGCACCTCTCTCTCTCTCTCATTTTATATATATATATATATATATATATATATATATATATATATATATATATATATAAAGTTGCTGGAAAAACATATCAATTGACACCCTCTTATCGGAGTTGCCACCCTCTCGTCGAAGCCACCTGGAGTCTCCACCATCTTGTATTTCGTCCCTCGTTAACTTCAGTTTTTATAAGGAAAACCCCAAACATCGATTCTTTGTTTGCAGATCTTTGGTTCATTGGACCACCGTCGGCACCACCTCTATCGCCGGACCACTGGGTATTAGAAATGATTTGTTTTCTCTAGTAGCGGTGACGACGACACAACCCTAGATGCTTAAATTTGGCCTCCAAAAAAACCCTAGATCTTCAAATGTTGGTTCATCTGCTCTGGTAGCAGTGACAAGTTTAAGATGACGACGACTTTCAAGTTCAAGGTGACGACGACTTTCAGATATGAGGGTTTTTAAAAAGGTTCAGCACCGGTGGCGGTGTTGACTGGTGGTTGTGTGCATATCTTCCGGCTGTGATGGTTGTATTGATTGGTGGTGGTGGTGGTCGTGGCGACGACGATGGAGGTAAAGATCTTGTAGTGTTTTGTTCTTCATATTTAAAAATATATTTGTGTTTGAGTACATTGGAATTTTCAAACTTTCTTGTTTTTGTCTCGTTGTGTGAAAAAAGATAATCAATGTTTGAAAATCAACAAATGGTTATCTTTGAGTTAAGAAAACAAAATGTAAAAGATAAATCATTCATTTTAGTTTTTTTTTTTAATAAAATTGGACTAAACCTTCTATAAAATTATCTTTTTTTTCCAAAATTATAATCTGTGGCCAAAATTACAGTTTTCCACAATCGTCACTTTAGGCCCATTCTCTTATCCGAGGTAAACCCTAAAACTTCAAAAAATAAATGAGCTTTTTTTTTTTTTTCAAATGGGCATCAAAATCGATTCCTGTTTGGCCCATTCTCTTATCACAATTCATATCCATTATCTTTATGAGGCTATCGAATTGCATTATCGGTCTCACACACATCGAATTTCTCTTTTCTTTCTCAGTAAAAATGGCTGAAGCAGCCGCCGAAGGTATACTGACAACGGTTGTGTTAGTAGCTGCCAACGAGATCGCCCTTGCTTTCGGTTGCAAACAGAAGCTGGACACTCCTCATCAAACCGTAGACCTAAATTGTTCCAAGTTGCGCGATGCTGAGAGACAAAAAGGAACAGAGGCTGTGATTCTATGGCTGAAACACCCAAAACAAGTAGTTGGTGAAGCTGATGATGTGTTGGATAAGGTTCATTACGAAATGTTGAGAAGTGAGGTAAAGAAACCAGATCGGATCGCAAGAAAGGTACCTTCTCTTCCGAGTTTGAAAAAGTTTTCATTTCGTAGAGAAATTGGGCATAAAGTTGAAAACATCAGCAAGAAGTTGTTACAGTTCAACAAGCAAGCAAACCTTTTAGGGCTACAAAACGAACAGTTTGCTCGTGTTCCAGATTGTCTCTATCGGGAAACTAATCCATATTTAGACGAATTCGAAGTTGTTCGGAGGGAAGATGATGAAAAACTCACGATTGTTCTTATTGTTGGCATGGGTGGAATTGGAAAAATAAGTTTGGTTAAGTCAATCTACAATAATTAAAAAATCGAGCAATATTTTGAAGGTAGAGCTTGGTTGTGTGTGTCGGTTAAGGTTGTTTTCCGCGCACTTCTTGCAAAGATGCTTGAATCTTTGCAAGGTCTATAGGATGATCATTGTCGGTCCATCTTTAAAGAAAGAGCTTTTGTGCTAGGACAAGCATCATTGCATAAATTGGAGGAGATAGGGCGCGAGATTGTGTAAAAATGTTGTGGTTTTCCATTGCTAGTAAATGAAATTACAATGTGAAAGAGAAATGGTTATCCATAAAAAATAGCAAAGTTTGGGATCTAGAAGAAGTACGTAATAGTTCAAAATAACTTGAAACTAACCTTTGATAATTTGCCCAATTATACTGTGAAGCAATGCTTTGCATATTGTTCCATCTTACAAAAGGAAAAAGTCATAAAAAGGGAAGAACTAATCCAACTTTGGATGGTTTTGGGGTTGGTTCAAACGGATGAGACAGAAAAACAAGGAGATAGAAGATGTGGGAAATGATATTTTCCAGATTTTGGTAAGTAATTCGTTGTTACAAGATGTTAAAAGGGATGAGTATGGTTACATCGATAGTTGTAGTATGCATGATCTGGTGCATGATCTTGCTTTATCACTTTCCAAACATGAAAACTTATGTCGGGTGACTCCGAAAAACAATGATATTATACGTATTCCTCAGGTTAAACATCACCACTATAGCAAAGATAATCTTTGAATCAACATCTCTTTTAAAAATTGATTTTTATGGTCTTCAAAGATGATAACACAACTAGGACTTTGCATACATTATTCTTCAAGGGTGAAGTTGAAAGCACCATTTCGTTTCAATATTTGAAGTGCATATGAATCCTAAAATTCAATGGATGTAAATTAACGAAGATAGACGATTCAATTGGAGAGTTAGTGCATCTCCAATATCTTGATTTCTCAAAGAAGATGCTCGGGCTTTTGAAACACCTTAGTAGAAGGCTTTGTATTTTCAATTTAAAAGAAATTAGCAACAAAGAAGATGCTCTCAAGAAGTTATCCAGTTCTGAATGCCCAAAGATCGTTCTCTTTGACGAATATCATCCTTACCCTCTCATTTCCATAAGAGATACGAACATGTGATAATCTCATGTCCATTAACAGCATACACAACCTTACATAGATAAAGAAACAGTCAAAAGAGGAGCGCTTTGTGAAGCTGATGATGTCATATTAAATGGAGAAATAGTGTAAAAAGAGATAGTTATTTAGTTAGTTAGGGTCTGTTAATGTATAAAAATGTTGTATCATCTCTCATTTTGTTCAACAATAAACTCCCATTATGATTTGACCAGTTTTATTTATAAAAATGGCAAATAAGGGAATGACGTATTTATGAAAGATCCAACGCATATCCTTATTCATTGTACTTGAATTTGCATAATAAAGTATGTCTCTTATTTCTATTCATTCACATTTTATGATTCTGCAGTCTGGTAACCACAAAGCTTGTTTCTATGATCAATATTACTCTCTCGCTCTCTCTTTAAGGAGCTGATACATTATACATCATCTATCGTTTGAGTTTGTTATGTTCTTTTTCTGCTGTTCTAGTTTTAGTTTGTATAAAATGAAATGAATAGTTATATATACTCCAAAAAAACTTCTATTATAGAATTGTATTGTGAAAATTATACACAATTATAGGAGTGGCCAATGTGTAATTGTTACTCATTGTTATGGATAGATTTTTTAAAATACAATGCCCTAAGGATGAACGGAATAGAGCCGCGGGTTGCAAGTTTTTTGGTTGGTATTGCCTGGTTGCTGTTCCTTTAATGCAGGCGGTTTAAGTGAGCGGCTTTTAGAAACCGCATGAAACTTTATCTATTTGCTTTGCATTGCGGGTCATGCATCTTATTAAAATAAAATAAATAAATAAGGCATAGCATGCATATATCCATCTGTGACATTATATATATATATATATATATATATATATATATATATATATATATATATATATATATATATATATATATCGAAAATAGTTATTCATTACAATTCGTTCTCCCACTTAATGTTATTTTAGAAAAAAAATTAGTAAAAGTTTATTTTTTTTAAAGAAAAAAATATTATGTTTTATTTTATTTTATATTTTTTAATTTAACTAAATAAAAAAATGAAGTGGCAAAGAGGTTGGGAAAGATAGGGTTTACATATGTTATGGGTTGTAAAAGATAAAAAAGAAAAAACTGATATGAATATGATGTGACAATTGAATGAATTGGAAGGAAAGGACTTCATTTTAATAAGAAATAATTTCAAAGTATGATGCTATAATGGGTAGATTCATCCATCCACCAACATTCATCTAGTTTGTTTCCTACTTTCCTCTTATCCATTTTTGTTCCTTTATGCTTAACTAGAAATGCAGACCACCCATGGGTGTTATGCTATAGATTCATTTTGTTCATTAAGATCTCAAAAAACTAAAGATCCACTTTTACTGATTATGGAACTCATAATCATGGGTTCAAATACCCATGTCCAAGAAATTTTGTAATTAAATTAAAGATTATATTAGATTTGCCGTTTAAAAAAAATTTACAGATTTAACTTTGTTGAGTAGTCCAAAGTCTAAACAAGTTCAATGATACTATGGTAATATATCAACAAAAAACAACTTAAAAACTAAATGAACAAAACCCAAACTATGCAACCCTTATAAGTAATTATCCCTTGTTTTTTCCACAAGAAAAATTAGTTGTTTTAATAAGCAATATCAATTATCAAACACCCCTATATGAATAAATGAGAAACTAATTACTCTACTTCAAGTCTTGTTAAACAAGTATTTTATAAACCTACAAATTCTACAAAGAAACAAAAAAGTTACAAATAAAAAATATAAGCTCAAGCTCACTATAAAAATGGCTGGCATGAAGGTTTAAAAAGCTACTAAAAATTAGTCTAAAACTATTACAAACTGATTTTGTCCTCCTGTCCTAATTTAGCTTTAACAAAATCAACAAACAATACAAAACATCATCATCATCATCATCATCATCATCATAAGATAATAAACCACACCAAAGAAACCAAGCCTTGCATGTTTATGTTTATGCACCTCCAGCTGTCACTGTTGCTGCTGACTGGATCGGCCCATTTGATCTAAACCCACGTCCCCTGCCACGTGGTCCCCTCCCACGTCCACGTCCTTCAATATTTATTATCAAAATGTATAAAACTTGATTTACAAAAAAAAAGCTAAAAAAATCTTATATTGTTTTTGTAAATAAATCCTAAGATGTGAGAAATCAGAAGTACCTCTGCCTTGCATGGGTGGTTCTTGATTAAATCCTCCATCATAATGATCATCCACATAAGCAGGGGCATTATTGTAATTTCCCCTTCCACGTCCTCTGAAACTTCGTCCTCTTCCTCTTCCTCTCCCCCCTCTGCCCCTTGGGAAATCATGGGGCCCATCCCACCCCCCATCATCATACTCCCCCCCTTGCGCATACCCATTCCCTATAATTAATTATATAACAATCATTATTAATTAAAAAAAAAAAAATTAATTTTAAAAAAAGTTAAGAAAAATTTAATCCCGATAAAAAGTAGTTAAGTGGCTAAATAGATGAAAGTATGTTGTGTTTTTCTGTATTCAAACACTTGTTATAAACCAAAAATAGTTTTTGAATTGATTTTTTTTTGGAAATTAGATAATACCAGAAATGCCCCTGGACCTTCCCCTACCCCTTCCCCTTCCACCACGACCCCTTCCCCTTGTAGTTGGTGACCCCTCTGCATAACAAAAAACTGTCAAGATTGGGTTCAAATGAAAAATGCAAGAAATACCAATAATGCCCTACTTTTATTTATTTGTGCATTATGTACTTTTTTTTAAAAAAAAAATCTAACCTAATTATAACAATAAAAATTACTTTCTATTTAAATGGATTTTTTCATACCTCCTTCATACTCAAACTCAGGTCCCACTTTCACCTGATCAGCTGGCAATGGAGGCTGATACCTGACAATTTAAAATAATTTTTATTAAAGACATTATATTTTTAAAAGAAAATTGCATTTTCAAGAAAAAAAAAATTTAAGCTAAAACTCACCCGATAGATGATGTATTGAGCTCCTTCATAGAGAGAGTTACAGTTATCATTGAGACATGTCTTGTTGTTTCTAGACTGTATGAACACAAAATTTGTATAAAAATATAAATTAAAAAACATATTTTTACTTCATAAAATTTTTTATTTTCTTTAAGAAGATTTAACTTACGGGAGTAAGCCTTCCTCTAAGGGTTCCCATGTATCGACTATATCTGTGGATCCAATGGATGTAATTTGATGAAGACCTACAATTCTTCTCTGAAACACAAAGAAAACTTCAGTTTTGTGTATATAGCAAAAAGACAATAATGCCCTTGTCTTTCTCATTATTGAAAAAGGTACCTTTATCAACTCCACAATTGTAACAGTTTTATTTATTGCTCTCCCCATTGCTTTAAACACAATTTCTGATGACCCTTTTTCCTACCAAAGTGTAGAAAACTCGAAAATTATTTATGAAAAATAAGTATTCATATATATATATATATATATATATATATATATATATATATATATATATATATATATATATATATATATATATATATATATATATATAAAAGGAATATAATCATATATAATATACCTGAAGCAAACCCATGGCATATGTGATATAGTTACGCATTCTTCCTTGGCTTGTAATTCGGATCTCATTCTCATCAATTGGTTGCTCTGCTCTTGGCTTTTCCACTTTATGATATCGATCCATCTTCAAAAATATATAATTTGAAAATAAAATTAAAGCAAATAAAGAAAAGATAGTTGATTATTGGGAGAATTAGTATAAAATCATAAGAAAATTAGTATGATAAGAAACTTTTTATGTATGTAATATTAGATGGGATTCATAAAATAGTAAAAACTTCATTATCTTACATGACTGAAAATAATCGCTCCAAAACACTAAGACGTGTAAAAATCAAAACCAAAGTACAAAACCAACAATTCAATTATAAAAAATGGCATTTGGCGCAAATACGTTTGAATTGGAGTCAAATAACTTAGACATAAACGAAAAGGGGCTACCTTTATTGGAATATTAGGATAAGATCATAAGAAAGTGAGATAACAGATATAAATTCAAACCACAGAAACAGGAAGTAACTATTGTATATGAGGAAATATCACCCAAAAGGGAGCCTGATGACTAAAACCAAAAAGAAGAAGAAATGGGGATTATGATTTCTTTCTTACAATCGATAGAAAACTTTTACAATTAGGAAACTTTTATGTATGTAAGATTGCATGCATGATGCATCCTCGATAAATAGTAAAAACTTCATCAGTCAAGTTTATAAGAGTATCACTGAAACAATCACACGGAAACACATTAATGCAAAACAACAAACATTAATATACTTATGAAATTGGAGTCAAATAACATACGTAGAAACAAAAAAGACCCTGCCTTTATTGGACGATTAGGATCAACCAGTGAAATAACAAAAAAGACAAATCCGAACAACAAACATAAATGTCGCCGAAAAGGGAGTATAAGACTCGAACCAAAAAGGAAAACATAACCACTTATCATTCCTTCAAATCGATAGTAAATTAGTCTGATTATGAACTTTTTATGCATGTAGGATTACAAACAAAATAGTAAAACCGTCGTAAAATGGGCAAATTAACGCAAAATACTTACGAATTCGAGTGAATAACTTGCAAATAGACATAAAAAAATTAAAAGGTTGTACCTTTATTGGATTGAATAAGATAAGACAGTGAAGAAATAGCCCTCTTCTATGGCTTCAATTTTGTCTGTTTAAGCCCTAAACCGTCTTTGTGTGCAGTTTGGAGTATTTATAGCAGCTGTTTCCAACGCTTGCCCTAAACTCTGATCGAAACCGTTGAACCGGTTGCTTGTTTATTTGTACTTTTTTGTCTTTTTCTATAATGGGCCGGGCTTTTCCGTATTAATGGGCCGGTTTAATGATTGCATTGATATGGTCCTTTTTTTTTATTAAGACAATTAATAGAAGACCAAATTAGTCCTGAACCGGAAATCACAAGCCGGAACAATTTTCTATTTCCACCGGACCGGAAGCAGTGTTCATCTCACGGGTTGGTCCCTCAACGGTCAGATTTCAGTTAGAAAAAGGTTATTTTTTTTTCTTAAAACTCGTCATATAAATACCTTATAATTCTCAACCGTTTTTGGGGTGTTATTTGCACCATATAATAGAAAGAATTGAGTATTTGACATATGACATTAGTCTACTTTTTGGTTTTATTTTTCTTTACTTTTTAAAAAAATTGATATTTATTTTGACTAATTGGAGTCCGATATTTTTATTGAAATCTCCTTTCAGCTGGTGTGCACTTTTTCTTCCAACATTTTAATTTAAAAAAAAAAATTAGTTTTACACCATTTTATATAAAGTGTAACATTTATATAAATAAAATGGGATAAAATAAAAAATTATAATTATAATTGATATTGAATCATATTTTTGGAGGATCGATATGTCCCTTACTCTCAAAAATTTGATATACTCATGATAAAAAAGTAAAAATTTTATTTATATTACTCATCATATAGCTATCTGATTGCGTTTTAAGTAAATCTGAATTAGAGTCGACGAAAACGAACCCTCCACTTCAATTCTCGCATTCCACTAACATGGTAGATTGAGAAATTGTTTACACTCCATGGGTTTTTGTATCAATTTTTCATAAATCTAATATTATGAATTATTAATTTGATTCATACAATCGGGTGTTGTTCAATTTCACGGACGTATTTTTGGTGGCTTTCGATAAAGATTCCGGTAAGATTGTGGCTTTTGACAAAGGTACATTTTGTTTCTATATGATTTTCATTCGATTTGGTTTATCTTGACACTTGATTTTTAAGTTCAGATTGATTATAATTAGGTTCACGCTTCAGTTGCAGAAGGAATTGACTATGCATCCACCTCCGCTTCATCCCTCATTGTTGGTAATTGGAATCGATCCTTCAGGTGAAATTGAAATTAAAATTTTACTTTTCTCGCTATTTCTTCCTTTCTAATTGGAAATATATCCAATTTAATGACACGGGTATAATGTTTTAATGTTAATATTCATATTCTTTTGGGTAGAACTATTTAAAGAGAAGGGTTATCCACATAATTCAAATAATAAATAAATAACTAGATTAGATTGTTGTAATTATCTGTAAGCTATTGTGTAACTTCAAAGATCCGATTATTATGAATTTTCTTGTGTAATTGTTATCTATATAAATCAATGAATGTAAACTTAAGGCAATACATTCTCTTTTTCAATTCTTTAAAGACGATGTTAATATTTTTTTTTTTCAGCAGAGAGAAAATAATCTCACAAATAACCTCTTACAAGTAAGCTTATTTTCCAATTTATACAATGTTCCTACTTTAGTTTTATGTTTTTCTTGAATTGATTACTATAATACAATAATTAACATGGGGTTACTCTTGCTTCTTCTTCTATTTGATTGATTACAACATGGTTTTTATTTACATGTTAATTTGGTGGATACTTTTTAGTAACTATCTAGTTTGAATAATAGAATGGAAGAGAAACTTGGTTTTGACTCTGAAATCAAAACAATAAGTACGAAGAAACAAGTAAAAGGTTGATTGTTATCTTTCATCTAGGGTAAATATCACAAAAGATACTATGTTTTCTCTAAAATTCTAATTTGATACTGTGTTTTTTTATCTCAAATTTGACACTGTGTTTTCTAGATTTTTACAAAATCCTGACCATTTGACCGGTAACCAGATTATATGGTGACGTAGCATGATGATGTGTCAATTTGTGATGACGTGTCATGCTGACATGACATGTTGACGTATCAAATTTGATTTTTTTCCACAAAAGATACTAATTTTTCACTTTTTTTTTGGATTTTGACACTAAGTTTATTTTATTTTATTTTTTAAAAATTTTAATACTCCGTTTTTTTGTTCCAAATCGAATATCATTTTTTTTCCAATATTATTAAATGTTGATAATTTTTCATTTGAACCCGTATTAATATTTTTTTTATTATATTTTAAACCGTATAAATACATTTTTTTCGTTTAAAAACCATATTTTTATATGAATACAAAGATTTTTTTACATTCAAACCATACCTAAAAGTATGGTTTTTAAATGAAAAAAATGTATTTATACAAAATGTATTTAAAAGTATGATTTCAAATGAAAGATGATCAACATTGAACAAAATTAGGAAAAAAAAATGATGTCTAATTTGGAACAAAAAAAATAGTGTCAAACTGAAAAAAAAAAAAAAAAAAAAAAAAAAAAAAAAAAAATCAGTGTCAAAATAAAA